AAAGAATTATGTTCTCACACACACAAAACCAATGTTAAAACCACGTTGATTAAATTATTCACACACTTGTACTTACTTTGAGCCACAGTGGACATGACCACCGCAGGAGTAGAGGACACCACAGTTGTCACGGCGACAGGGCCAGGGGCAGCGGTGGTGCCTGCTGAAATCACCATGGTCTGCTTCTGACCGGATGATGTGACTGCAGAACTGGACACCAGCTTCGACACAGCGGCATAATTATGAGACTTGGAGAGGATGTTGGGAACAAAGCTGGAGCTTGCAGAGGTCGTAACAATAATGACCTAAGGAGAAGCAAAGAGATCATTTCATAAAGGCAAAAAGGGAAGTAGAAAGAGGAAGCGACTTCTTTTAGACACAGTGGCTACTTATCTATATGCTTTATACACTGCCACCCTCTCATATAACGGTTTACTTTACATGTGATTGGCCCAGTCAGTCTGGTTCATCCAAATGCTGCTGTTGTGTTCACTGTGTACACACTGTTTTACACTTGCACACTGATTGCACTTCTGTGTTTTGACTTCTGTATCATCTTGAATGTTGCACAGTGGTTCTAGAGGCTTGATATTTCAGCCCACTGTATGCTAGGGGTTGCAAGGAAATTCAGGCAGATTGTAAAGAATGCAGACAAAATGTACTTTAGCCTAGATGAAGCCAATTCTACAGTCAGCTGCACACTGAGAAACTAAACCGAGAAAAGTCATTTTAAAGTTTTCTTTTGCATTAATGAAACATTCTTACTTTGTATAGCACTATGAATGTAGAGGTGTGCACAAGACAATCGCCCACTCCCAAAGGAAGTATTTTTGTTGTCCTTTAAAGCTAAATAAAATTAAAATGAAATCTTTGCACTGTGGCATAACGAATTCCATCATGACCAGTGCATTCAGTGCCAGAGGTTGCACTTCACTATCTAAACTAATTCGACTAGTTTAGAGCAGCACATACGTACTGACATGGGGACTCATTTTTGGATGCTACTGAGGTCGGAATTGAACAAGCCAGTTCAACTCCTGGGTCATTATCAGCTTGGGAAAACCTCCCACATGCTATTATAGACATAGCATCCTCCATCTAAGGAAGGCTGGGCATTGACCTATAAGGAAGGCTTTATCGATGGACATGAGCTTCAGAATCAAAGACTTCAGCTCGGACACAAGGAGTGCATTTTAAGAACAGGTACGTCCTAAAATCATGTAATGAGATACACAGATTTATCATTTGGAACATTTATTCCACTAATTTGCTTTTCCCATTAATGGTGTAACCTTAAAACGAAGCTGGAAATGTAATTTGTAGCCGTGTATGGCTGTTAATGGAACTGCAGGTTGACGTGTTTTCTTTGCTCTTTTTTTACGAGCATTTAACTGTAAGTGATTTCCTGAATCGTTTTTTTTTTAACTATTTAAAAGATGATTAGTTGACTACTTTATTTAATTAGTGGTCAAATAGTAAAAATTACTAGTTGTGCACCCCATACTATACACAAGTACAGTTCTGGGCAAAAGTCTTAGGCACATGCAAAGAAATGCTGTAGAGTAAAGATGCCTTCAAAAATAATGAAATTAAATGTTTCTACATTTAAAAAAATACTATAAAAGAGCAGTAAACTGTAATAAATGAAACAAAGTCAATATTTGGTGTGACGATCCTTCGCTTAAAAAAGAAAATAGTAGTCTCAGGTACAATGTGTGCAGTTTTATAAGGAAATGAGCTGTAAGTGTTACTGAGCATCTTGCAGAAGCAGCCACAGTTCTTCTGGAGACTTTGACTGTCACACTTGCTTTTTATTTTTGCAGCAAAACCCAGCAGCCTTCATTATGTTTTTCTGTCTGAAAAGTGGTCGCTTATGTAATATGCTGCTTTCTTTACTGACATACAAACATTTTTCTGTAACATTTAATTTTGTGCTGGAAAACTAATGTTTGGAAATCTAAAATGTTTTTGTACTGAATCAATAATGTAGAAGTCATAAAATAAAAAAACGATAACAAAGTTTGTACTAAAAAAATAGGGTGCCTAAGACTTTTGCACAGTACTGTATGTGGTTGGAATGACAATAATAACAGATAACAGATTTAACAGAGATGAAGAGTGTGTACTGACTTTCTGGGTGGTGGTGTTAGTGGCCTGTGTGCTTGGCTTGGTGAAGGTGATTTTGACTGGAGACATGTGTGGCGGCAGCGAGTTTGCGATGCTCTGCATCAGGTTGCTCATCTTCGGGCTGCCGCTCACCGGCACCGTGATGCTCTTTGAGGTGGGTGGGGTCACTTTAGGCACCTCCTTTAGCAGAACAGGCGACGAGCCTGAGGAGTTGGTACGCCGGCGTTTGCGAGGCTTTTCATCTTCGTCAGAGCAACTTACGCCTGAGAGAGAGAGAGAGAGAGCAAGAGATTGTCATGAGAGCACTCAAACTGAGATACTGAAATATTTAAAAGTATGCTTCTAAATGGCCATTACTGAGAGGACCAAATGATGGATGTTCTGCTCTTAAGAGACATAATGGTATCAGAAATGGCAAAGTAAAGTTCAAAAGCAAATTATATTAAAGACACATTCATCAGCTGGAAAATCTGATTTCACCGAGCTTCCAGTTTACAGCAAGGTTTACAGCAGGCAAAATAGATACAAACACATAAATACACTTTCATATTTATTTTTATTTATTATTAATTTTTACAGTATCCAACTTTTCCCTTTGAAAAATAGTCAAATATTTGTTAGACCAAGAGGAAGTGCAACTGCTAAATGAAACTGGCTGCAGTGAAAGGACATTTTTTGGCTTGTGGTGTATCTATTCATTATTAATTTGCATTATTTGTTCTTGTTCAGACAAGCTTCAGTGAATGGGCTATGAAAGAATATTAACTACTGCTTAGAAAAGTGAAACTGAAGTGAGTTCTGAATAGCTGTTGCATACAACCCCCACAGACACAGCTCTCACTCTAGAGGGCAAGAAGTAGGGCAAACTCATAATAATGACAGAGAGAGAGAGAGAGAGAGAGAGAGAGAGAGAGAGACAGAAAGCCATTATATTTAGGAGATATTTAATTGGGTCAAAATGTCCCCTTTAAATGTGAAACACAAAGGTTATTTTAGTTCTTTCTACATTCATTTCATCTCTTACACACACACACACAAACATGCATGTGCACACAAGCATGTACAATTATGATTATTTATATTTTTCTATTCTGTCATGACATGAGGAAGACAGAGAAATTTGAATGTGTGTGTGTTTAGGTACTTACTCTTCACATACACAGTACTCCCGCTAGGCAGCACTACGACGTTGGAGGCGGGGCTTGTAGGCCGAGGTGACTTGACTGCAGCTGCTGCACTGCCACTGGGGGCAGATACACTAGGGGGCGTGGCTGTAGTGCTGGTGTATGAGTAACACACTACCACTGCAAAACAACACCACCATCATTATAACACATCACCACAAGCAATTCCAAACTAGCTCCCAAAATATTTCATCCTTCGTTATTTACCTTCTTTGTTGCCAGTCTCTGCAGGAAGAAGCAGAGAAGAGTTCTGATGTGCCGTGGCACTGGCTACCGCATTGGCTGTCACTGTAAAAGCTGTCTGAGGCACCAGCCTGGGCATCAGGGGAACCAGTCTACGCCCTTCAATAGACCACTCTGAGGAGCTGTTCGGCCCAGACATACTGTTAAACAAAAAATAGACATATAGAGGTACATTTTAATGCTATATATAAAGCAGATGAAGTTAAGATTTAGTTTGTGGAGCTGGATTTAAAAAGCTTTCCTCTGCAGTGTAGTGAGTTGGCTCTCTTACTGGTATGCGATAGTAGTGAGACGCTCATCGTTCACTGCACGCCGCACCTCTGCACGATGGCGCTCAGTTGAAATGCTGGTAAAAAGATCATGCGTCATGTTAACAAAACTTACATTCTGCATTGTGGTTAGTGGAAAGCCTTCTATAACAGCAAAGGGACTAAGGACTAAATCTGGAATGAGATGGTTAAAAAAAAAACAAAACCATATGGATGTGATGGTCAGGTGTCCAAAAAATATAGTGTACTATGCATATATTATCATTTCTGTAATCGTTTAAGAGGTGTGGACAAATCATAAAGTCATTAGCTAGCCTACCGGGCAAGTAAATGCTCCAGTGCGCTGCTCAGTCCCGTGTTTTGTTTGCCCAGAAACTGACCAGGTAAAAAGTGGTAACATAACATAATCTGCTAGTTGCATGTCATCTGTGCATGTTAAGTGCTCGCTACGTAAAAACAAATCTACTATCAGCCAGATTGCACTGATGTGTGTGGTGGAAAAAATTGCACTGTGAGCAGGTGGTGGAAAAATTCTGCTTGTCCCGGCCACCCAGGCTTGTGATCTGTCCATCCCATGTTTAACTAATATTACTGTCTGTTGACACTGAAATACAGACCCAACAAAACATTAAGTGAAATCACACACTGCAATCAGCTACACAGCTACAACAGTTGTTACGGCAAGCAGAAATCAGGAGATTTAGCCACTGCTGCATAGAGAAACATGGTCTATATACTGGCTGTTACGCTGGTCAAATCCCCAATAAAAATGATAAAATGATAAAATACTAAAATACATACACAGTGATGTACTGCTCCAAGTGTTCTTAACATGACCATAATAAAGTATTGCTAGAGAAATTCAAATGATTTTATATCATGAATAATGAAGACTTATATTTGAGAGTTATCTTGGGATGCATATATACCACATATAATAATACATTTATACACAGAGAAGTACACAGGAATATGTTTATACTTGCATTATAACCTCCTTATGGCGTTTCTGTATGCATATGCCAGCTAAAACAGCAACGTACACTTCTTACAATGTGTTCTGTAAATCCGTGTGAGGATGCTCATTTTCATCTCCACCTGTCTGTCTCTCAGGGAGCACATAGATTTGTTCTTTAGGTATCTTAATTTTATCTACGTTTACTCTTCTTTATGACCAGGGTCCCTGGAGAACTAGTGGTTAGGCCACAGCGCTCTCACTGCTGAGGCCCAGGTTCGATTCCCGGCCATCCCCAGCCACTGGGGTTGTGTGCAACAATGCTCTCTCAGTGCCGGTCCCAAGCCCGGATAAAATTGGGGAGGGTTGCTTTAGGAAGGGCATCCGGTGTAAAAACTGTGCCAAATCAAATACACGGACCAATGATCTGCTGTGGCAACCCCTAACAGGAGCAGCCGAAAGACGAACAACAACTCTTCTTCATGACCAGATGGTGTACATGACCATCTTTAAACTCTCAGCCCTGCTCACTGCATTCTGAGATGCTGCATAAAGCTTAAGGTGTTTAAACACACACTGATCACAGTCTTTTATAACAAATATGTTAAATCTACCTTAATACTTTGGTAAGCTCCCCAAGCAGGTCTTTCTTGTCCTTGGTGAGATCACCCTGGGCACGAAGTGCACTGATCACTCCGGCATATGCCTCCAGCTCTACACGCAAAACAGTTAGAACACAGTTACACATGAATACTACGTATAAAGAGGTCTTCACATTTCTGACTTTTAAGTACCACATATAATCAGTCACATGTCAGATCACAGATAATAAAAGCATCTCACCAAGCTTGCGCAGGATTCGTTTACAGTCATCTCGGCTGAGGTCGAGAAGTGTAGGCCACACCACCGGCATGGTGGCAGGCAGCTGAGGCTTCTCCTGCTGAATCATCCACTTTTTATAAACAGAAATGAACTATCAAGAACACAGCCATCTTTTGATAGCAGAATAAACAGATTTGTTTGTGAACACTTTTGTAGTTGTAAAAACTATTCATCCCATGGATGTTAATTTCATTAATCTACATAAAGAACACACTGATTTAAAAAATGGCATAAGAAATAATCCTTAGGTTTTGTTTATTACTACATTATGTGTGTTGCACAAGTCACAGAAATAAATTGTTACCTCTGGGAGCCAGTGAACACTGTCAGAAATGTGCACGCTCTATTTAGTGTGGATCTTCTAGAAAACGTTACCCCTCAAGAAAACCATAATGAAGAAAAAAAATCATTCATTCATTCATTCATTTATTTATGCATGCCACGGTTGTAAATGTTTCTATATAAATATCATTACAAACATCACAAATATTCTGGAATACTTTAAGAATGCGCTGTGCTAGCTAGTTTATAACAATTTTATTTAAAGATTTTGCTTGTGTGATCCAACGTTCTCAACCAATCCCTGATCACCATTATTCCCAACAACCAATCACTGATCACTATTATTCCCAACGACCAATCCCTGATCACTATTATTCCCAACGACCAATCCCTGATCACCATTATTCCCAACGACCAATCCCTGATCACTATTATTCCCAATGACCAATCACTGATCACCATTATTCCCATCGACCAATCACTGATCACCATTATTCCCAACGACCAATCACTGATCACCATTATTCCCAATGACCAATCACTGATAACCATTATTTCCTTTGTGTCTATTTACAAACTATCACTTCAAATTATGGAAATTAGAAAACAGAAATGGAAAAATGTTTGTAAACATGTAAATAGCTAGTTTGTGGTGCCATAACCAAAGACGTATTTCTATAATAAATAAGTTATAATCTATTATTTTTCTATTCTGTAAAACTCTATTGTATTCTAGTTTATTCTGAGTGTCTTCAGAAAATCTTCCTTCTTCATGTAACTCGCTTTGATATGCAAATGATCATGACGAGTCGACTAATATGCAAATAAGATTACGTCACTTGGCTACTTCTAGCGGATTTCTGAGCATGCATTAGTTACTTTCCCCTGAACAGAGCTGGCAACACTGTCAAGCCTGCTCCCAAGCTGAGACAGCTATCATTTCATATTCAGATGTTCATCAGAAACTGAGACACCCCTGACAAATAACAGTCAAGGCACAAGCCAAAGCAGAACCGAGCCACCCGGGATTCAAGAGTTTTTACAGTCATGGCTGACTCCATTAGGCTCCTACTCTTAAAAAACAGTTTTATACTGAAAGCAGAAGAAGGCGAGACCGGAGAGGAAGGTCTTCTCTACCAAATAAGCTGGAAAGAAAACAACAACAACAACAACAACAACAACAAACAAAAAAAACACTACAACTCGAATAGCTCCCTGGTGGAAAAACAGCGCAGTTGCCTGTAGACGCTATGACTTCATATCCTGTGTAAGTGCGACCAGGAATTCACCTAATACCAAAGACATGTTAGTATACACAGTGTTACAAGGCGCCCTTTGGGGAAACATCTACACGAAACCAGAGGAATCAGTGAGATTAGACAGAATTATTTTTGCGACAGACTTCTGTCATTAAATCGGTACAGATCAGTTAGATGCACAGTCCACTAAGACTAACAACTAGTTAATTTTCTATAACACAATCCTAAGCAAAATGAGATAAAACACTTAAATGGCACTGATCGCGTGAATTTTCTTTTTTTGCATTCTGTTTTCCAAAAGAAGAAAAATAATCCCTCATCATCCCAGCACCAAGAGGATTTTCTCTCAGCTCTAGCTGGGCAGGGTTGATATTCAAAATTAACCAGCTAGCCTAAACACTAAGTCATCATCAAACAGCACATTTGATCGTTTAATAACTGTGCACCAGGAAAAAATCATGCAACAGGCAAAGATAACATTTTATTGTTGCAAAATGCAACCGTGTTACCAAATATAGACAAAAATAAGCACCAACCTTTGCTAGATCCAGTCCCCAAAGTCCGCCATGTTTAATGTTTAATCGACGCCAAAACAGAAGAGCCGCAGCTATAGCTGCCCGCCGCAGTGCCTTAATGCAATTACCGTCCTAAAGGAAAGCCATCATCATTGTTTGTATTAAACGTTTTTATTACCAATACAATATGTCTACACATATATTTACAGAGAGTATTCCAATACTTTATCTTTTCTATGTTAAGACTAATGGTCAACCTTTTCCCCCTTACAACAGGCATTATTTTAGGGTCCCAATCAGGGCCTTCATAAAAAACTGCAAAACACGGAGCGAAAGCTGTAACTGTGGTTTACAAGACTACTGCAGGCCGACACTGTGTCTGAAATGGTTATACTTGCTATAGTACATTATTTAAACACTTAATATAATTCTGGGATTTCATGAAATGCCTTGGAGAATAATGTAGTACGCTCTCGGACACGAGTCACCCAAAATAGTGTATTAAACAATGAATAGGGTGCATTTCCATACAGTGGCCTTGCCTTATTTATTTATTTATTTATTTATAAAGATGACCAATCTAATGTCATTATAGCCGGATTTTATGAAGGTAGCATTGGCATTAACTGGGTATGAATGATGAAATGATTCGCTAAAATTAAAAGACTCGGTCTTTGAAAAGAGCACAGCACAGCGACCTCTGGTGGCTGACTGACCAAAACACCACATAAATTCTGCCGATTCGCGTCAGCGCCATTTGAAGATAAATCATTATTCTGCAGCCGGTTGCTTCTGAGTTCAAAACAGCGCGAGCGCCGTGACGCGTTAAATTCACGTATGACGCTTTGAATCCGAGCTGATCGACTGTACAGTGAATCAGCAGGAGCTGATTTTCAAAATACTAAAGAAAATGTAAAAGTTTAATAAGAACAGCAATCGCAGCTAGGCTAGAG